CAATTACATGTTTTTATTTGTAATTTTTGTAGTGCTCCCTACTATGTGAACCCCTCACCTGAAGTTTTATGTTTATTGGTTTAAGCCAATTAAATTCTAAACTATCACAGGGCTCGCAAAATCACTAGCCCGACGTCCCGGGGCTAGCAATATCTCCGGTTGGGCGACCAAAATCACCCAACTGGAGATATTGCTAGCCCTGGGACGTTGGGCTAGTGATTTTGCGAGCCCTGTATCAACCCAACAATCAAATGATCCCCTTTAATAGCAAGCACTGGGCAACGGTGGAAAGGAAAAACTCCCTTATAAAAAGGGAGAAACCTTTGACAGAACCAGGCTAAGAAAGGGGCAGCCATCTGTCATGACTGGTTGGTGGGTGAGAGGCAGAGGAAAAGAAAAAAGAGAGCACACGTTAGCTATATGTTGTTCACATTACCTAAAATGAACAACGTATGGTTTTCTGGACTGTGAATGTCTCAAGTCAGTTTTCAGTGACGTGACCGAAGACTTTCCTGGATGGCCGTGCGAATGCTTGTCAGAAACAGTTCATTTCCTTTCTTGGAGAAATGAACTCCGTCGGGTAAAAAATTTGAGCTGCTGAAAAACCTGAAGCACGGATGCTCAATAATCACTCCATCAAAGAGGTCGACAGCCTTTCTAATGCTGGCATTCACACTCATCCTGTCCTTATTGATTTCGACTGGATTTCCATATCTCCACACTTGACGCCCATTGATGGATGAATATGCAATTGTCATTGAGGGGAACTCTGTGTGCAGTTGCATCAATTCCTTCTCAATGACAGAAGAAAGTTTATAAGCAGAAAAGAGTCCCAAATCATTACCCCCAGCATGGATTACTAGTATGTCAGGTGGGCTCTGTGTCGATAGCTCCTCATAAAAACGAGGAAGGACTCCCCCCCAGCGCATTCCTTCTTTGCCAAACCACTGGACTTTGGCATTAAGTCCGAAATTGTCTCCGAAAATCTCTTTTGCTTCACCCCCGGCTCGTCTGATGTAGCTGGACCCAATGATCCACACGTTTGTTTCTCTCTGGTCTTCTGGACTCTTGTTGTCTTTCGGTGTGTTTTCAGAGGTTTTGGTATCACCCAAGGCCGAATTGTTTGTTTCCTGACCTGGGAGTCGGATAGTCCTGGACCAGGAACGTTTTCGGATTCTCTGTGTCACTGCTGTTTCTTCTGGCCTCTTGTTGTCTTTTAGTGTGTTTTCAGAGGTTTTGGTATCACCCAAGGCCGAATTGTTTGTTTTCTGACCTGGGAGTCGGATAGTCCTGGACCAGGGACTTTGTGGGATGCTCTGTGTCACTGTTCTTTCTTCTGGCCTCTTGT